TTAGATATCTAAGCTAGTATTTCTAATTCTTTAAATATTCTATTTATTATATAAGCTATAGCTACTAGTTCTATAGATCTTCTAGTATATCTAACTATATTTAATATAATAGTATTTCTTATTTATAAGATAGTAAGATAGGAAATATTATTCTTAATTTATTAGTTCTAAAATATAATAGCTAGATCTAGTATTTTTAAGATATTAATAAGTATTCTTATTTCTTTCTGACTTTTTAGAAATAAAATAATTATTTTCTTTAATAGCCTTATTAAAATATTATTAATTTTAGAAGTCCTATATTTATTATAGTTAAGAATATACTAGGTTTCTAATTTATCTAGTTTATTTCCGGAAATATTAATATTTATATCCTTAGTTAGGCTATTTCCTTATTTATTATTTCTTAGAATAATATTCTTCTGGCTTCTTATATAAGATAGCTTTTCTTTTACTCTGGCTTATTTTTAGAAAACCTTTTTAGTTATTTCTATTTCTTTTCTCTTTTTTCTTAATAAGAAACCCGTTATAATATTAATAGAAATACTATTTATAACTAAATCTTAGTATTATTTATTAATTCTAGAACCTAAAGTATTAGTAATTTCAATATAATTTCCTCTAAGGTAAAGTAGCTATTTAGATTCCCTAGATATAACTTATTTACTTCTATATATAGATTCTGGTTAGCTAGTTTCTTTTTCTCTTTCTTATCTAGTAAACTAGATATTCTCTATTAATTTCTGGATATTTTTGGATTAAGTATTTAAGTTATAGGTAAATTCTCTTTTTTGGACTTGAGAAATAATTTAGTTAAACTACTAATACTTATTAGTAAGAAAAAAGGAAAAACTTTCTTATCTAGACTTAAATAGTTCTTTATATTATCTTTTATTAAATTAGTAAATATATTTATAATTTATAAGTTCTTTTATTAGTAAATAATAAAATTAAGAAATATAGATATATTCTGGATTAATATTATTATTCTTATTCCTATTATAGTATCTATAGTAAATTTGTTCTTTTAGTTCTAGGTTTATACTATAGGCCATATTAATTTAAATAGTATTTTCTAATTATACTTAAGACTAACTTTTTCTAGAATATAGTTATCTAGATTCTCTATCTAATCTAGCTTAATTACTATAGCTACTATAGTATTTTCTATATTTCCTACTATAATTTCTAGTATATTTTTCTTAAAAACTCGAATTATGTTTATTAGACTATTAATATTATTATACTAGCTATAGTTAGCTAGGCTATATAAGTAGTTTAGCTATAGATATTCTTTCAAATTATAATAATAGTTATATTAAGTTATTTTTATAAGTTCTCTTAAGTTATAATAATAATAAATAGTTTTTCTAGACTTCTTACTAGCTAGTTAATATTATTTCTCTTAGGTTTACTACTTTTAATAGGTTTTATATAATTAGCTATAGACTAGATTCTTTTCTTACTTATATCTATAATAGCTTTAGGAAGTATAATAAGAGAAACTAGTAAGAAATAATTATTTTCTGGTTTAGGAACTATATTATAAACTATTATATTCAAGTATTCTTATCTAAATCTAAATATATCTGGATTATTAATAATATTAAAATAGTATTTCTTCTCTTTATACTAATAAAATATTATTACTTTCTTATATATCTTACTATATTTATAAGTAAAAATATCTATAGGCTTAAAGTTCATATTCTTAAGAATATAATCTCTTACTAGAATAGATAACTCTTTTATAAATTATTTTTGTATTTATAATTAAATAATATATCTAATTCTATTTATATTATATATATAATAAAATCCCTATTAATAATAATTCTTACTAGGTCCTGGGAAATAGTTATAGTTAATATAATAAGCTAAAATATAGTATATTTTCTTTTCTCTAATATAATCTTTTATAAATAAAAGTATTATATTCTAAAAAGCTAGAATAAAAAGCTTAACTCTTAACGAGATATATATATAAAACGGGAATAGGAAATAGTTATAGAGCCATATTATAGATATTTAATTACTAGTTAGCCTATATTAATTATATAGCGAGAGTACCAGAGCCCGGGGAATTCATTAATATAGAGAATTAGGCTTAATACTACGGGAATTATAGAAGATATACTATTATTAGTTTTTAAATACTATTTCTTTTATGTAATTTAGTAGTCCGAATTTTGACTTATTAGCTATACCGGATATTTATAAAACAGGCTATATTATTATATTATTACAGGAGATTTCGAGTCTAGTATCTTAAAGTATATATATATATATCTCGTAAGAGAATAATAGAAATCTTCTAGTAAGCTATTAATTAATTTTTAGGTATTAATTTCATACTTTATAGACTAATTAAATAACTATACTTTCTCAGAACTCGACCTTTATTCCCAATACGTGATTCTAGATATAACTAATATCTACTAGTTACTATTTAATATCTACTTTTATAATTAACTATCTTTATTCTAGTATATAGCAAAATAGATCCATATAGACCCTTTATCTAGATAGGTCTTTCTTAATAATTAGATTAAGGCATGGTTTACTAAATAGCTATAATATAGATTAATATATAAAGTAGGAAATAAAGAGATATACTTTAGTATACTTTAATAATATTACAAGACTAAAAAGAGAATTATGGCTCGTATAAGACTAATAAGAGGCTTAATAACTTCTTTTATAGCTAGTATAATATAACTTAGACTTGTATTTTATTTATATTTAGTATTTATACTTCTTATAATAATAGCTAAAGTATAATTTAAAATATCTTATTTATATTAATTTTTTTTATATTTTCAAATAGTAAAAAAATATAAATTAATAATATTTTTGCTTATATTAAGTTCTTTTTATTTTTTTTATTAATATAAGATTACTAGTAATAAGTTTAATATTTTATATTATATTATTTATTATAATATAAAGAGAAAAGAATTTAATTTACTAAAATAATATTAAAAAGTACTTATAAAATTAAATTTTATAGGGCTTTCTTTACTATAGAATTAATCTTATAGGGCTTTATTTACTATAGAATTAATTTTATAATAAAGGAAAGTTAAATCTTAAATTTACTTAGTAAATAAGAAATCATATACTATAGTATTAATATTATAGGGATATAGTATTATAGTATAGAAGCTATAGGTATAGCGAATAAAGCTATTCGCAAGGCTTGGCAAAAGACATACCTTAGGCAAGAGTAGTAAACATATATTATACCCAAGAAAGCGAGTATGTATACAGGATCGCGAGATAGTATATAAGAAATAGGGCATTATATGGAAAAACTTACAGAATTAATAATTTTCTAATATGGGAGGTCAGGAGGGATCAAATAGTTCTCTCTTTGCATAAGCACCCGTTCTAGGGTCTGCCCAGAGAGAGTGCTTATGCATTCCAATCAGAGTTAGCCTCCTGTCATTTCCCCTTTGGGCGTACACCCATATTTTAGGAATACTACGCGAGCAAAACAGGGATGTTACAGGGATTGGCAGGGGCACACTCCTTTTGTATCTATCAAACGCTCTTGCACGCTCTACTCGAGCCCCAACCTTCCTAAAGGCGTTACTCTTGAGTATAACTTAGACCGAAGCACTGGCTTCGGCTCCGTTGGCATGAACGCACAGTATGGTTGTCATGCTCCCGCTACCTTTTTGGATTCTAAAATGACTATCGTTGATGAATATGGTGTTTCGGGATTTGCTAGCCGCGATGTTAATCAACGCCAATATATACCGGAAACACCTTATTACCTCTTATAATATTTTATAATCTATAGTTTATAGCTATTCCTGGATATCTTAAACTCCTCTTCTTAAAAAATCATTTTATATCGTTACTAGCTTATTACATTTAATTCACAAAGAGTCTCCTTTTATAATTATAAGAAATTTCTTTATACTGTATTATAAATTAATAACGTAGTGAGCAAATGTCCACGCTCCCTTATGAAGTTATTGCTTGATGATCTTAGCGTGATAAGTTGCAAAGAGTCTGAGATGATAAGTACCTAGGTACAGTACTCTTTGCTAAGTATGAACCACGTGATTGACCCCCTTTTCATGACTATGGCGAAGTATCTATGGAGGACCCACGATTTGCTGCAGCATACTGCATTCCAAAATCAAGAATAGACATAGAAAAAGTTTTCTGCTTATGAGTACGTATATGCTGTAGCTGCGAGGTCGGAACTAAAGACTCAATGGACTAATGCCGATAACAATATGCTACTGATTCAATGGATTGAGATTGCTAACGGGGAGAAGTCAATCAAAACTACTCTGCATCTCGCGAAGTAACCTTTCTCTGTCTTCGAATCCTCTTTGTCTCCTCATCCATATCACACACAGTCACAGTATCTGTTATTCCATGCCTGCTCCTGATGTGTCTTTTACAATTTGCTTCTCGGGAGAAAGGCAGCCCACTACCACCTCTCGACCGCTTACACGTAGAGGATGTGCAGAAGTACTTTTTGATGTGAAGATGACGCTCGTTAACGTGGCGATCAAGTTGCCGTTTGGTTGCAATCCGCGCGGAGCATGTCGGACATTGGCAGGGACGGGTATGATTCTTTACGTGATGGCTGCAGTCAAATGAGAATTCGTGGTACTCAGAGGGAAGACCGTCAGGTCTGCTTAACTCACTTGTAGTCACTTGTCGTCTTGAAAATCTTCTCGTAGCCTGGCCAAGTACATTTGATCCCTAGGACAGAAGAATGGGAGGTTGTAGATCCACCAGAGATTGGTGAAGGGGTTTCCAAAGCTACATAGACTACTATTAAACTCCAATAACCCGAGACTGTGGTACTCGAAGTTTTAGAAAGGGGGAAACTCGATACTGTTTACTCGAGCCGTCCTACTTAGGACCTTATTTTTGGGACTTACTAGTTGGCTTTTCGGAGGGACTGCTAGTTCTCCGTTCCGGATCGAAGTCGAAAGTGGCTGCTGTGAGCCTTTGGTTCCCAGAGGTCACGATCAGGGGATGAAAGGGACCAGGGTCGAAGTCCTCAAGGAACGGATCAGTAGACCATGGGACGCAGTTTACATTTATTGAGCCGGGAACATCTTGTGGAGGGCCAGAACTATCGCCGAAGAGTCCGGTCGGGATTGTGCTATTCCCAATTAGAGATGAGTTCGAGATCCTCCATTCTTCGGAGAAGTTGAGGCCGCCGCTACCAATACTCTGGTGTCCAACAGTATCGATAGTGGACAGGAAAGGAGATCCAGATGATGAGTGCTCCGGATGTGAAGTATTGCCAAATTCAAATGCGCCGACCTCAGGGAACGGACATGAATCATCCTGCAAAGCAGTGAAAAGAAAAGATGCATCAACACTGAGATTAAAAAGGTCGTCATTCTCGGAACAGCCGGCCTGGGGTTCTGTGCTCCAATCAAGGTCGAACTGATTTGCTGATTGAATTCTGCGGTGCTGTGCAGCGCCCGCCGTCCAAAGGCGGAGCTGCCAAAATGGGAAGAGGCCTCGAAGCTAGCCTCGTGGTGTTGCGGTTGCACTGCTGCTGCAATCAGCAGTGCAGAGTTCCGCGGTGCGTTAGGGTTCAAGAGTGGTCTCAATTGAAAGGAAAGAAGCGTTGCACTACGTTGAGGCATGAGGGGGCATGGGCGATTTAAATGGTTGCAAGGTAAAAAGTGAGGTCTCCCGCTACGCTAACCGTGGCGCTGCATGCAGGACTGTGGGATGTTGGTATGGTGCCGGACCACGTGACGAGCTTCGGTGACGGAACGGCTCTGGAACAAGACCCTGGCACCAAAAGAAGAGGGAGACCTCATTTCCTTGATAGCTTTCCAGGAGGTCTCGTCGCAAGTTGGTAGGATTTTTGGCTGGTGGCAGGCGCACTCTCTGTTCTAGGGCTATCAGTAATCTTCTTATTAGACTGTTCACCTGTGAACGCATACTTCGTAGTGATCATGTGTTGTCAAAGCTTGAACTGTGGTATATAGCTCTCTTCTTAAGAACTCTGTTGCCTCTGGAACAGTTGCATAGAGCTAAAGGGACGGAGGTCTTGCTGAGCATAAGCCCAACATTTCTGCAAAGTAAGCGAGATCACTTCTCGGCTCTTATAGGCTATCGCCCTGTAATTACAGGGACTTCTATAGTAGCACTGGGAGAGGATGATAATAGATAGGGCTTTACAGCGCTTGAGTGCTCTGTATCCTGGACTTCTGACCACGAATTCATAGTAGATCATACTCACCTCATCAAACGTCAATTTGTCCCGTCAGGAATCATTTCTCTGAATTATGTCAAAATGAGTTTGGCAAGCAATGTAAATTCCTCCTGGTCCCCAGATTCTCGACTCTCGAATCACTTGAGACAAACTCTTTGGCCCCCACACTTCACCCCACCACGACGCTTGCTTGCATCAACAGGCGCTCTCGCCAGGCGGAGTTGAGACAGCTCAGCCTCGCGACAACACACACTTCACTCGCACGATAAAAACCCTCTCACACGCATGGAAACACGAAGATCGTTGAGCTGCGGTAGTAGCCAGCTTCACAATGCCGATTACCTTCGGAAGCGTGGGAGACATAATAGCGGTCGGCCAGATCGCGTGGTCGCTTGCGCAATCGTTGAGCGACTCGAGGGGCTCTGCGAAAGAGTATCAGGGCCTGATCAAGGAGCTGGGGGCTTTTGAACGAGCTGTGTTGCAAGTACGTCTCCAATCATCTTCCATTCGTAAAGTAGACTAGGAGTCTGACATCTGTCGCAGGTCGTTGCGCTCTGGCAGAATTACGACTGCCCTGATGTGAGCACGACAGACATCACGAAAGATTGGCTGGATACACTTCGCACCTTTCAAGGGAAGGTTGACAGGAAATATGGCCGTCACTTGGCGGCTTCGGGATCGGGGAACTGGGTAATAGACGTGTCAAAGAAGGTGCTGTGGCAGACGGAGAAGGCGGATATTATGGAGCTGAGGACGAAGTTGCATTCCGCGAGTGAGACTCTCACTCTATTAACAATTGCGGCTATGGGGTCTGTTACTTTCTCCTTCGATGAGATGGTTATTAACGTGTGGCAGGAAATCGACTAAGTTGGCTGAGGGGGAGATCAAGTTTCGAGTCCGCGTCGTGCATCTAATGTTAGAAGATGTAAAGAAGCGTACTGAAGAACAAGTTACACAGCTCAAGGCAATTAACGCGAAGATTGAAGCGCATTCGAAGACTTCAGATGATATCCTGAGTACTATCAAGAGTGGCATTATATCTCTGTAAACATCTTGGAGAACTCGATATAATCTTGGATATGACTAATCCTTCGCGTCAGGACACAACTTCATTGTATAACAGTTGAGATCAAGAACACACTTTGTCTCTTTCAGAGTCATATGAGATTGGAGAAAGAGACCCCTCGAGGCATTGGGACGGGCTGGCAGTCTGATCCCGTAACGTTAGAAGACGCACTTGGCTTTCGACACACGATCCCCCTGGACATAGTCACCTCTTGGAAAGTATGTGCCTCTTTTGAGCCTACTATATTTGTATGCTGATTTGATCCAGATCCTCGACGTCCTCCTCCTAGAGCGCTTCGAAAACCGGCATGGACACCAGAAAATCCTCAAGGGTGAGTTTGCTATTGAGGAAGACAAGACGGGAAAAGATATTAGCCGGAAGACTCAGTTCAAGATGTGCTTTCGCCCAGGGCAGAAGGTTGACATGAGTATGATCTTCTCGGATCACGACGCAGACAGTAACCATTGCCCTCGTTGTCAAACGAAGTCGGAAGCTTCTGTTGGAACTAGAACTCAATGGTAAGTTATATGGAAGAGGTCTTTATACTTAAGCTCAGACACGAATTGATCGTTTCATTTGAGTAAGCGATGCTCGAGTCTATTGAAAGTCATTTTTTTTTTTTAAATTTTTTTGGAAACCTTCGAATCAAAGAGTTGACGGATTTTAGAAACAAAGCTGATTCTTGTACAGTGCCTCTTGCCACATGTGGTTTCAAAGACTCGTGGAGTTAGATGATGAGACCAATCTGGAGCCAATCCCGGAGCTTATCGAACGTCCCACTGCTGCTCACAGCAGCGTCAGAACCAAGCAGGCGAAGGTCGTTACTACCACGCCGGCAGACTTTCAGAGGGTGCGGTTGATGAGCATAGTCAGATCCCAGGAGCAGCAGGCAGCAGAAGGCTCCACTATGGAACCGCCTAATCACCTCACGAATGATGACGTTGTGATACTAGAGAGTGAATTCAGCGAGAACCCCAGTCCTCCACTTGAGGTCAAGCGACGATTCGCTGAAGATATAGGTGTTCCACTCGCAACAATTAACGTACACTCACATAATTCCAAAGTACAGTAGCCAACTTTACTGATGATTAGCAGGACTGGTTCGATAAACGACAAGTACGAGCCAAGAATTATAGAACCGAGCGGGATGGGCGAGGCAAGAGCTATAGAATCGAGCGGGATGGGCGCGGTAGAGAGCGTCTTGTGCGGACGTCCTCCCACCGCGAGGAAGGATCTCATGGACGCGCTAGAAGTACACGAGAACTGCTCAACGAAGCCGAAGAACGCGAGCAACGGCTAAATGCCGAGATTTTAGCTCTGCAAACGCGCTTAAGCTATGCACAAAGAGACAACTGGCAATACCAGAACATCATCAACGAACGCCTGAGGAGCTCCAGTACCGAGAACTCGGCTGCCAGCAGGAGTATTGATGAGAATGTGAGTGAGGGTGCTGAGGTTCTTCTTGCGATGAATAAAGGCAATGTAAGCGGTAAGTGGAAATTCCGCTTTGAAAAGGTTGATCCTGACAATAAAACAGGTTCCGGCACCGACTCTGATAGTAGCTCCCCAATCACTCCACCTTTGAATGATGAGATGTCGAACCTCTAATTGTATCTCCGTGGCACGTATTTGAGGCTCCTCATCTAGGGAGGTTCCTGACGGCCAACCCTTCACAAAAATTAATTTCGTAAATACCATCAAGAGATCACCGTTGAAACGCTTATAATTCTCGTTTTACCAGTGCTCGCTCCACTTTATGAAGAATCTTTATCCAAATGAAACTCTGTTATTACCAGACTTACGCAGGGTAGATTTTCGTAGACATTCGCCGAATCACAATGAGATACCAAGTTAACATCCGAAGAATGCACTGCTTTAACTCTTATTTCTCGATTAAGAATGAATTCCGAATTATGCTTAATCAAATAGCATTTTTACGTTGCCTCTGATAGCCCGCCATCCAGCAGTCTACCCTGTGAGTTACTCACTGCAGCCTCGCTACCTTCTTTCGCTTGCCTTCGAATTATTGATAACACCTGAATCCTGCCTTCGATAGGTCATGACTATAGGGGCCCTTGCCTTCCAAATAGCGGAAATCATTACTACTTCGAACAACACCAAAGCAACCGCGGCCAACACCTATGTGATGAAAGGGGAGGCAACTCCAGTAGGTGCCTCTTCTGCCAAGCCTAGCGTTACTGGCGCTGGGTCAGCCACTACAAACGAAGCAGCAGGCATAGCAAGCAAAGTTGGGAACGTGGCCTTGAAGGTCGGCGTGGGTGCAATGAATGTATTCGCAGGATACATGCTTCATGTGAGTCGCTCGGCATCGAAGACAGAATATATAGGCTAGGACTAGGGCTGAATCCTACAAAGGAGTACATCATGAAAGAAGAGAAGACAATCAACGACACTATATCAATCGGAGTTTTAGTAGTTGGGAGTATAGGCTGCGGCCTTGCTGTTCTAGGCGGTCCCGTTACAGCAGTTTGCTTTGTTGGGGGTTTCACACTTGGGTACGCTAAGCATTGGTGGTCTTCCTAAAGCAACTTATTAACTTGTGGGAGGACGAGATTGAGTTGGGTCCAAGTCAGGCAGGGTGGGATGCTCTGATTTCGGCTCACTGTTTCTGGAAGTGCTGGCAACTCTCGTTTACAGTATATAATCCTTAACTATATTTGAAACCAAAACTTGCATTCTCGCTATGCCAACAAGCACCCGTTTGTTGTCGCGCACATCAACAGGAACGCAGCTACGCGTCCGGCGTTCCTTCTACTTGCAGGCGTCGTGAGGCCTAATGCATTTCCATCTGCTTTTGTGTGCCCCTCCCTGTTATCACCCTACCGTTATCATCTTTAAAGCTGTAGTCCCAGACTTGCTCGTCAGGATCTTCTCGAGAACGAAAATCTGGGGCCGCCCGAGGTGGCAGATAAGGATCAGTGGTATACCGCCAATTTATCTCGATCGCACGCCGTGCAGAAGGTGTCGTTGCTGAGTTTCATGTGCCTCTCGCTCTTGCAGATAAAGGAGAAAGTTGCTTCCTAGGCCCATATGTGTCCGGGAGGGAGGTCGGCATCGTCAACCTCGTCACCGAGCTCGGAAGGGACAGGAAGGCTAGAGACCGAGTAAGCCATGTGTCTGCGTTGCGATCAAAGGCGAAAGCAGTAGAGGGTGTCTGTAGGATGCAGAAAACTGGGTTGACGTGGTTCCGTTCTAATTCTGCGCGATACGCGGGGTTATTTCGGCTTTCGGTCTCCTTTGATTACAAAGGGCAGGCTGAATGCTTGTCACACCGCCTTGACGGCAGAATTAACTGGTGCGTGATTTCGGTTGTTCTTCGATTCTGCCATCAAGGCGGTGTGACAAAAATTAGGACCTGCACCTTCATAGAGGTACCGACCAGCATCGCGACATTATATGAATTTCAGCGCCACCGCAGCCACAAGGTTGATAGCGACTTCTAGCAAAGTACTGAGGCCCTAGAGCTCGGGAATAACATTTTCATATGTACCAGAAGTGATAAAAGCTCGATAGTAGAGCTGCGGTAAAGGGACTCTATTATATTATGAATAGAGACTGTCCACAAACCAGGCGCAAGGGCGACAATACGAACGTAATTTTTTAGTAGGATAGGCTTAGAGTATTCAGCAGTAGTAATGTAACACGGCTTACGCACAAATATAAAAGTCATCGATGTGTATACATAGTTTGACATGTTTAAAGTCAAAGTAACTATCATTTTTCTCGGCACGGTGGGTTTCTCGCTATGCAGGGACGGACGTTATCTATAATTTTTTTATAAAGATTATCCACCTGGCTTTCCTTCATTAATATTATGTATTTAGCTTTACGATTACTCTACAATTATCTTATTACTCCGGATGCCTGTATCTTATTAGGCCTTAAAGTTAGGCGCGGAAGTAACTAGACATCCATCCCCTTTCTCGCTATTAAAACTTTGCAGAATAATTATACAAGCAGTAGCTTGCTATTTATTTATGGTCCCGGACTAGTTACTAGTATTATTACTAAACGTAATTGGCTCTCCCTCGATATTACCCAGTTTAAGAGCATTATTTAGTGTATTAATAAACAGATTATAGTTAAGTAAACAGGTATAGGGAATTAGAATACACTACTCATTAAATCCGGTATAACTGCCTATTTAGAGAATATTACAGTCAGTTTCTCTAATGACCCCGAACTCTGGAACAAGTATCTTATTAACCTTTCTATAATATGAATAGGCGTTTATAGAAATTAGAAAAGCAAAGACTATAATAAGATTTATAGTTATAACTCGAGTTCTGAGTTATATATAAAAGTAGCTTAAATTAAAATAAATGCAAATAAGATACTAGATAAGATATTACTAAAGATAAACCCGGATACTTTATATTATTAATATATTATTTTTATTTAGTATAATTCTATTTTTAATAATATTATACTCTATAAATAGTAGTAACCTCAAATGGCTTTAGAGGAGCCGTTTTCTTTTCCCGATATCCCTATATCTAAATATAATATAAATAGATTATATTTGCATTATCTAATTAAGTTACTATAATATTAGATATTTTCCTCTAAATAACTTTTCTTTAATTTATTAACTTATAATAAAATAGCGAGTATTTTATAAGCTTAAGTTAATACTATTATTTATACTATATGAGATATTATAAATAATTTACTAGAATAAAAGAAATATCTAAATTCATTTAAAAATAAAACTAATAAACTATTTATAACTTCTTATAGTACTTATAATAGGGCTAGTAAAGTATATAAACGCGTGTAGTAAAAGAATATTAAGAGATATATATACTTAATTAGTAATATTATTATCTTATTACTTATAATTATTATTTTATTTATTATAAGTTTAATATTATAATATTATAACTATTAGTAATAGAAAAATGGGCTATACTAAAAGAAATAAAGGAATAATATTTATTAATTAAGTAAAAAAGCCAAAGAGAAATTTTATAGTAATTTCTTATATAATAATAATAATACTAATTTATTAAAGATATTCTTAAAAAATAATAATAGGTAAATTAGATAAAAAAGCTCGAAAGTAGTAATATATAAAAAAACAATTTAGAATAAACCTCAGATTTCCTTTACTAAAATTAATTTCTTATATAATTTCTCTATTATTTTCTAAAAACTAACTTTAGCTATAATAATTTTCAAGTTAGTCTGTTCTAACTTCTTATTATAGCCGGCTTTCTCTAGTATTAATTTACTATTTATTGAATTCTTAAACTTATTAGTATATATATTACTAGTAATACTAGAATATACTAGACTAATATCCTAAATACTCGTATTATTAGATTTATAATTTCGAATTATAATATTATTATAGTAAAAAATAAATTATATAAAAACCTAAAGCTTTCTTTCTAGATAAGTAACTAGTATAAGAAGAAAAGAAGCCATATCCTTAATCTTATTTATATTAAATATATTATAATAAATAATTTAAAATATAATAAAAAAATATTTTAACTTCTATATATTAGACTTTAATCTAGAATTTTGAGAAGAGCTTATATATTAAGTTAATTATTATTATACCAAATTATATCTGGTTTTTTTAAACTAGAGAAGAACTAAACATCTCCCAAAAATCACATATTAAACTCATATTAATATTTATATATTTCTGTTATTTAAATTTATAAACTTCTAATATAATATAAAACGAAAGTATATTATATTTCTGTATTCTTATTTCTATATTCTTATCTATATCCTAATATAAAATTTATATTATATCTGCTCTAATTATTACCCCTAATTTATTATTAATTTACTACTAATTCCTTATTTCGCTTATAGGTAATAATAGTAATTTATATTATTATAAGTGCCCTTAGGCAAGGCCTATAGGCTAAGACAAATCTAGTAGTAACCTAATAAATAGTACAAAAGATATAATAGAATAGTACTAGATATTTCTAGCTTAAAGCTATTAATATAGCTCGAATAAATATATATATAAGAACTAACTTAATAGAAAACTTCTCTTTAGATAATTTTTTTAATTAAAAAATAATAATACTAAATAGAAATATGAAATAAAGAAATCCCCTAGGCCCCTATAATAATATATGAAAATTCACTTCTTTTTCTTATTTAAAGTTATTCTAAAGCTAGTATTTCTCTTAATATCTTCTAAACTAATAATCTATATTACTTTATATAAAGCTAGTACTAGCTTCTGCCTAAAGAACTCCTGGACTATCTATTATATCTATTCTCAGTTATTTTATTATAAAATCTAATATAGCCTCTTAAAATATTTTATTTTTTAATATAAAGTAAGTATCTAGATAATATATTATTAAACTATTCTTATATCTTCCTATAAACTTTAATATATAATTCTCGGATATAACTAGATTAAGATTCCTAATAAAATATAAAACAGGTATTTGAATTCGCGAATAGTAAAGAAATTTATATTAAGGATAAGATAATTTAAAGCTATTATAGTAAATAATAAAATAAAATAGTAATAAAAGTAGCTATTATATTATATTAGTCTTTATTTATTATATTTATATTTTTGGATCTATACTAGAATTAAGATATAGAAAAAACATATATTTAAATTAATTTAAAAGTTCTATATAAGCTCGGGAAATATTTAATACTTTATAAGAAATACTAGTATATGGGCTATAGTTATACTAGTAGAGAATTCAATAATTCCTATAAAGAAACCTATAATCTGGATTACTTTAAGTATATAATAGATTATTTATTTATAGCCTTATATTACTTCTATTATATAATTTCTAAATCCCCAAATCCAGGTATTAAGATCTCTTTCCTCTATTATAATTCTCTTACTAGCTTTAGTAATTAAACTTGCAGGCTAGATATAATATAATATAATAAGATAGAATAACTTTATTTTATTAGAAAAAAATAAATAAGTATTCTCGAGAAGATTCCTAATAAATCGAGTCTTATATTTAAATAATACTCCTAACTTTATATTTCCTATAAGTATAAAGTAATAAGTATATTATTATAAAGTTCCTTAATAGTATTTTAATAAAAGCATATACTATAAAGAATTAGTACTCTTGGTTTTTGAAAAACTCTAGCTATATTTCTTCTTATACTTTTTAATCTAATAATAAAATTATTAATATTTTTTATTCGGATTCTATTTAGGAAATTACAAGATTATAACTATACTTAGCTTAGGAAAGAGGTTCTAAAAGTTTATAATTACTTATTCTCCGGGTTTTATTACTTATATATATAATAAGAATTATTTAGTCTAAT